TGAGGGCTGCTAGCCCGCTGATCGCTGCAGTTCATCTCCGTCCTCAGTCTCCATGAAAGTTATTAAAAAAACAAAACGAGTTGTTTGTCTGTTAGTGCAGCCAACCATGCAGCAAGCTAAAACCATTTTACTGTCAAATCAACTAAATAAAAGCCATAAAAGGCTACAAACTGGCTTGTTTTGACTAGCTTCACTGGAGTTTCAACGGGTGTAACCTGTCTTTTTGCCATCCATCATGGCGAAGGGGGTGGTCACATGAGTGGCGTGACGTCACGTGCAAAGGGTCAATAGCACAAGTTTGTCGTGTGAGTTGATCCTAGCAGACAGTTGCCGGAATAGTCCTTTCAAAATAAAATAGTTCCCGGATCTTGTTCCGGCAAGATCCGGCTCAAATTAAGCCCCGATGCAGACTGTCTTTACATTTAGAATTGGCATACAGATAAAAATGAATGCAGTAAAATAAAGTATATTTTAATTAAATATTCATTAATTATTTTACAAACAGAGAGCTGCATCAGATGGATGAATTAGCCGCATGCGGCTCCAGAGTGCATTATGGGTAGCCATAATTCCAGCATTCCAGTTTTATGTTCTTTATTGTGCGTTTTGTTGGGGTTTTATTGCAGGGTTGTATTTGATGTCGGTTATTCGGTAATACGACTGTGCTTTTTTAGTTGATTTTAATTTTGCACCACGAGTGAGTTATTTCCAACAAATGGTGTCGAGGTGCCATTCTATTGTCTGGTGAAGCAGTATACTGCTTCCCTTGTGCAAGGAAAGTGCACGTTGATTGGTCAAATACATTAAGCTGATCTTGGCTCCTCCTCTGCCATGTTTTATTTCCTTTACTCAGGAGTTTCCTAAGCAGAAAAAATTCAGAATAAAGGATAAAATAACGCAGAATGGCTTGGACAAGTAGCTTTAGTTTGATTACTAGTATGGAAATAGTAACGTGTTAGATTAGTCGTTATCAAGGAATCACGTTGTATTAGAGTAACACGTTACTGGCATCACTGTCCACCATACACATGAAGAAGACATGGGCGTGCTCTTTTTCTAAGTAAAGGACCTAAGTTCTTCTATCTGCTCTTAACTCAATGAAAGCCCAAGTCTAAATTGTCCAAAGTTGATGCCAAAGCCGTTCCTAAGCCAACGCCATCTTTGTTGTTTTCTCTGTTGAAGCTCTTGCTTTAAGCCCGCCCAACAAACAGAGCTCTATGATTGGTCAGACACAAAATTGTTTGGGTCAGTTGTAGACCTGCACACCTGTGAGACCTGTGAGAGCATGGCTGGACCAGGCTGCAAAGAAAGTCTTTTGCTACTGCTATGGTTGGTCTAGAGTGCTTCAGTTTTATTTTAGTTGTCATCATCTATGTACCTGGAAGACCCTAACGGCTGGCTCTGATTGGCCCATCTGCTGCTGCGTTAGGATAGAGCGGTAGAGACAATGAAGCCCTTTCTGTTTCTGCTGCTTTCAGATACTACAGGGGAACACACGGAGTCATAGTGGTTTACGACGTCACAAGTGCGGAGTCCTTTGTCAACGTTAAACGATGGTTACATGAAATCAACCAGAACTGTGACGACGTGTGCCGAATATTAGGTGAGAGTGCTCCTCTACCGCCATCCCCTTCAGTCCAGTTGGCCTCTTCTGTCTGCAGAACGCCTCGGTCTCAACAGCGTGGCGATGTTCTCTGTTTTCAGTGGGGAATAAGAACGATGACCCCAACTCCAAGGTGGTGGAGACGACTGATGCACAGAAGTTTGCAGAGCAGATGGGAATCAGCCTGTTTGAGACGAGTGCAAAAGAGAACATCAACGTTGAAGAGGTAACCTGTAGTGGCTGGAAGATTTTTATGTTGAAGATTCTGCCTTATTTCACTTCAGCAATCCACTGGGGGCGTTTATTTATTCATCGTTGCTGAGAAATCGTGGTGCTCTAAATAAATTTCACCTTCATGAAGGGTGACCTAGCATCCCTCTGAAATCTATGAAACCATGAGAATAACAGTGGTTTTGTTCTTCTGCAGATGTTCAACTGCATCACGGAGCTCGTGCTAAAGGCCAAGAAGGAGGTGCTAGCCAAGCAGCAGCAGCAGCAACAGAACGACGTGGTCAAACTCACCCGGAACAGTAAACGAAAGAAAAAGTGCTGCTAGCAAACGGGTCCCTGAAGGCACCTTTCTGCACACATTCATTTACCACACGGTGGGACTCAGAGCATCTAAATTGAAGATTTAATAGTTATATGGTCAGATTAAAATACTTGGAAAGCGGTCCCCTTTGGACAAACTAATCATGAAGACTTTAAACAAATGTACAGATTTTTATTAGATGTCAGTTTTATTTGGAATCAGCAGATCAGCTGCTGACCTGAGGATTTGCCAGACGACCATCATCACGCTCAGATTAACATCCACATAATCCCGTAACCCTCCCCCCCATGGGTGTCTCCGCTCCTTCACCGCATACGGGATACCAGGCCGGCCGCACCTGAGGAGGTTCTCACCATTTCTGGACTGATTGGTTAGGGTTAAGTGGGTGTGGGCGCGCGGGTCTGCAGTCGGAGCATTTCCTCCACCGGTATTAGCACGGCTCGTGCCAACGCGTCACGGACTTCTTTTGACTCGGAGCCTGGAATCACACCAATAAAGATTACTAGACGCCATTAGTAACTAATCTGATGGACACAACTGATGACTTCTCTTGTAGTGTTTTTTATTATTTGCCAAGCCCCCCCCCCCCCCCGAACCGCAGTAGTGTTGAGCCGCTGGTTTTATGTTGCCATCATGTTTTAAGCAGCAGAGCATTCCTGGAGCTCTGAGTTTGTTTTTAAACCTCCCATCTAAAAACATGATACTGCCAACGTTATTATACATAAATATATATTAGGAGCTCAGGAGAGCCTCTCAGTGGACTGTTGCCATAATGGTCCGTGGCTGGCCAAGAAGCAGGGTGAATCAGTCTGATGGGACCCTGTTGAGTCCTCAGGAAGTGACCCCCCCCCCCCCTCCCCCAGCACGTCTCACAGCGATGGACTCCCTGTCCTAGCAGTCCCGCCTCGGTCCAGAGGGGGCAGCGTTTGTTTCTGTTGCTTCTCCACCAACAGATTCTTTAACAGCCGTCTTCTCCAGGTCCTGCGTCATCTTTTGCCTCCACCCTCGCTCTCTGTCCAGACTGAAGTGTTAACAGTGTTTTTGGTTTCCATGGTGACGAGAGCAGCTGATGGTGGGTCAGGCTGATGCAAAAACAGGCTTGGATCGCTGTGTGTTACTGAGGTTCTGTTGAATGGTTCTGGCTCATCACACAGGCCTTTGTTACCCGAGGAGCCTAGGAACTATCAAATCTCACGCTTTGGTTTCTTTCCTTATGTGTATATAAATGTGTGTTTATATTCCGTATGAAACCTACACACACACGATCGGCACACCTGAGCAGGTGTGCTGTGGTTTGCTGTACACTGGAGAAAAAGATTCAGTTTTCCCTATGTGAACTTGATCAGTAATAAACCTTTTAGAGGAACAAATGTGACACATCATGGCTGAACGAGTTAGTCATTTCTGGTGATGTGAAGCCGGAGCGAGGTGGGGAACCCTCTGCTACAGACGGATCATCACCCGATGGTGGAAAGCAGATAACAGCCTGGTTTCACCTCCTCCAGACTCAACAGTACATTTGTTGTTTTTCATGTTCTGTTTACACAAATGTTTCCTGTATTAAATATAAATATCTGATAAAAAGGAATAAAACTGAATCTCTACTTGACATTGTTTTATTCTTGGAAGAAACCAAAGATATTACATTGTTTTTAACAAAATGTCAACATCCCATAGACAAATACTCATTCGTTTTAGTTATTTTTCCTCATTTTAAAATGTAATGATAAAAAATGTGTTTTTAAAAAAAAGAAACTTCTTGTAGGAAAACTCATTGAATTCTGTTTTTAGTGTGAAAAAATGTTTTTAGTGTCTCAAATGTTCTTTTATAGTTTATTTTCATGTTCATTTTACAGTAAAAATGTTTTACTGCCAAGGTGTCGAGGGGATCCGGTTTGGTGGACTGAGGATTGAGTCTGCTTTTTGCAGAGGATGTGGTCCTGTCAGCTTCATCAGAACGTGATCTCCAGCTCTCACTGGAGCGGTTTGCAGCTGAGTGTGAAGCAGCTGGGATGAGAATCAGCTCCTCTAAATCCAAGACCACGGTCTTGAGTCAGACATGGGTAGAATGCCCCAAGTGATGGAGTTTAGGTGTCTCTAGGTCTTGTTCACAAGTAAGGGAAAGATGGAGCGTTAGATCGATAGGCGGATTGGTGCTGTGTCTGCAGTGATGCGAGCTGAGCTGGAAGGTGAAACTCAATTTACCGGTTGATCTACGTTCACCTACGGCCACGAGGTTTGGGTAGTGACCTAAAGGACGAGATAGTGGATATAAGAGGCTGAAAGGAGTTTTCTCCGCATGGTGGTTGGGCTCTCCCTTAGAGATAGGGCGAGAAGCTCAGTCTTCTGGGAGGGGCTTGGAGTAGACCCGCTGCTCCTCCACATTGAGAGGAGCCAGTTGAGGTGGCTCGGGCATCTTGATGGAAAGCCTCCTGGACGCCTCGCAAATGAGGTCTTTGGGCATGTCCAACCAGGAGAAGACCAAAAGGAAGACCCGGGACACGCTGGAGAGGCTATGCACCTTGGCTGGCCAGGGAACGCCTTGGGATTCCCCTGGAGGAGCTGGCCCATGTGGTTGCGGAGAGGGAAGTCTGGGCCTTGTTTAGGCTGCTGCCCCCACGACCCGACCCTGGATAAGCAAATGGATTTTATACTTTCAAAAGGAGTTGTGGTGGACTGAGGGGAAAACAGCTGTATGGATAACAAAGGTTACAGATCTCTGGTGGAGACATAAACAGGCTCCATGAATAATAAAACCAGGTTTAACAAAATAAAATAAAGTGGAAGCAGCTGGTGTCCACTGGAGGACACGTCACAATCTGCTCACTGCTCCTGTCAGTTCAAAGATGAAGATGTTTTTATTTGGAGGGGGGGGGGGGGGGGGGGGGTCAAGGGAAGACACATTTGCAGTTTTCAATCAGACCTCTTAACATTTACACAAACAAAAGCAGCTTTTACCAGGAGGTTTGAGATGTTTGTGTTCAGCAGGTAAATCCAGCACATTTGCATTTCTTAGAGGATTATTTAGTCCCTTTGGTTTCTGTGTAGAAATTAGGAATAATTTGACCTGCAGGAGTTTTCAGCGATCCATATTAAATCCTGTCCTCTTTGAAAAGTAAAGCTCTTGTATTCAAAATTTCCCACAGATTCCTTTAAAAAAAACACTGCCCGGCCAATAAAAAGTCGCCACCAAATATAAAGGTCACGCTCTAATATTTCATTGGACCACCTTTAGCTTTGACTGCGTCACACGTTCACTGAGGCGTTGTTTCGATAAGCTTCTGCAGCGTCACCAGCTTTATCTCCATCCAGTGTTGCATTAATGTGTCACCAAGATCTTGCACTGATGATGGTAGAGTCTGACCGCTGCACAAAGCCTTCTCCAGTGGGGTTAAGGTCTGGACTCTGTGGTGGCCGATCCATGTGTGAAAATGATGTCTCGTGCTCCCTGAACCACTCTTTCACTACCTGAGCCTGATGAATCCTGACGTTGTCATCTTGGAATATGGCCGTGTCATCAGGGAAGATGGAATAACGTGGTCATTCAGGATATTCAGGTAGTCAGCTGACCTCATTCTTGGAGCACATCCTGTTGCTGAACCTGGACCTGCAGCAACCCCATATCATAGCACTGCCCCCACAGGCTTGTACAGCAGGCACTAGGCATGATGGGTGCATCACTTCATCTGCCTCTCTTCTTACCCTGAAGCACCATCACTCTGGAACAGGTCCATCTGGACTCATCAGACGTTTTTATTAATGCGTTGGACAGTTCTTAACCCAGTTTTAGTCGTTTCTGCATCTCCTTAGATGTTTTCTCTGCTTGATGCCAAAGATCTGACCCTTCTCACACAGACTAACATCTTTTCCACGACCACCAGATGTGTCTTTCCACCTGGTTGTTTAAGGAATGAGAAGCAGCTCATTGCACCAGTTTGGGTAAATAGGAAGCTCCTGCCTGTTTGCTATGTTAGATCCAGGTGTTGTTTGGGCTGGGTGGGGTATTTCTCTCTTTATGAACGTTTTTACCGCGGTCAGTTTGTGGTCGTGAAACTGACATCATTCAAAATCTTTCACTAAAAATCACAAGTGAGGAAGTATCTATCATTCAGGATTCTCCAGAGCAGAGGCGGATCTAGGATTTTTCTGAGTCAGGGGCCACAACATTTATAGAGAGGCCAAGTATTAGTCCAACAACTTTACACAAAATTTTACGCTGAAAATTCTTGTTAGGCTTATTAGTGCCACCAGGGATTGGCCTTGGAACTGCACCCACCTGTAATCTGATCATTGCACAAAGGCCAGCTGAGTGGCAGGACATGGGCCCTTCATGGGCCAATCAGAATTCAATAGGGGTCAACGCCCAGAACTACCAATGCTCCAGGGAATACTGAGGTTGGCTACTTGAAAATTTCATTTTAAAAGTCTGTGTTTTATGGTAAATGGTAAATGTTCTGTATTTGATATAGCGCCTTCTAGAGTCCCGGAACCCCCCAAGGCGCTTTACAACACAATCAGTCATTCACCCATTCACACACACATTCATACACACTGGTGGTGATGAGCTACGATGTAGCCACAGCTGCCCTGGGGCGCACTGACAGAGGCGAAGCTGCCGAGCACTGGCGCCACCGGTCCCTCCGACCACCACCAGCAGGCAATGTGGGTTAAGTGTCTTGCCCAAGGACACAACGACAGCGACAGACTGAACTGGGCTCGAACCAGCAACCTTCCGATTACGGGGCGAGCACTTAACTCCTGTGCCACCGTCGCCCGTCGTCGTTTTACAGCCTAGTGAACTAGACCAAATTCTTGCTTTGCAAAGTCTGGTCTAGGAACGCTCCACTGGAACCTCCGCAGCTCCTACCAGGACTCTGGCTGGCCAATCACAGCTCTCTAGAGGGGTTTCAAACACATAAAGAGCTGTGATTGGTCCATAATGGTGGGCCAATCATAGTGCTCTATCTGCTCAGTGAACAAATCACAGAGCTTTATCTGCTTTGTGGGCCAATCAGGGCCCTCTATATGCCTGGTGGGTGGGATGATGCAACAGAGTGAAACAAGATGGCGACAGCTCGTTTGAAACGGCTTTTACATCAATTTTGGACTATTAGAACTTGGGCTTCATTAGAATCAGGAGCAGATAGATGTATTTAAGTGCTTATTTTTTTTTAGAAAAAAATTGTGTTTTCTCCTTCAACTGCGGACCGCCTCGTTTACCGATGGCTGTTGCGGTGAGTATGTCTCAGTCATTGTCCAGTGGAATGCGGAGATCATTTGAAAGACAACGGTAGAACCCGCCCCACAACCGAGAGCCGTCAATGGAGCGTTGCCAGACTAAATAATACATTTATTTAGTCTGGCTTGCCAGGCTAAGTGTTTTAGTGATTTTATGGAATATTTTTTAACTCTTTCTCTCTGCTTCACGCTTCAGCGAGAGGTGGTCCGCCTGTAGGAACCGCTGACAGAAAACATTCAGACCGTGGCAGAGGAGACGAGAGAACTGTAAAGTGTTTATTCATACAAAAGGAGCAGAATGCTGACAAAACTGCATGGTAAACATTTCGAATAGTTTGAAGCCTTTTGTAACTGAAACAGTGCTTTTAGTCAGTAGTGAATGGAAGCACTCACATGGAGCACAATGAGCCCAACGAATGCACCAAATTCCAAAACATCATGCGACCGAGGAAAGAGGAGCAGTGGGAAACACACACACACACACACACACACACACACACACACACACACACACACACATGATGCCATGGCAGCTGCGTCAGGACGCTGAGAAAAAGTCTAATCAGTTCAGTTGACAGAGTCAGAGAGAAACAACACTCGCATGTGAAGAGACAAAGTCCAGCTTGACAGGACAGGACAGAGGTCCATATGTCCCAACAGATGCTTGAGGTGAGTAAACACAATGACCCCCCCCCCCCCCCCCCCAATGTGTCATGCTTTATTGTGTCTGAAGGGCGTTTCTCTTCCTGTTTTCATGGCTTTATTATAGAAACCATCATCATCAGATGACTGGAGGTGAAAACAAACATCTCGCTGGTTTCTGTGTTGTTTCGGTTCATGTTGGCTTTTATTATCGCTCCTCGTGTGTTTTACATGTCTTCCTGTTTAATTATAATTATGACTGGTTGATCTCTAAAGCAAAAATAATATTTTTATTTGAAAATAAACTTGTTTTTATGGCTCTTACAGCCAGTCATGGTGTCAGCACTGCTCATCTAGAGCTGCTGTGTTTTCAGACTCAGCCTATGCTGTTATTAGCCAGCTGTAACAGACAGCCCTTACTACCCAAAGCCTTTCTGATCAGTAGCTTTTATGGGCCCACAAAACTATTTAGTAAACAGATGAATACATCTTTAACTGTCACGGCTGTGGAGCCCCGATCCGTCAGTTTACCTTTAGAGGAGCAGATTAACGTCTTCATTATCAAGCTTCTTGTTTGGAGTGCAAACGTTAAAACGGCCATAAAAATAACAAGATGTGTAATAAATAAATCAAAGGATCTGCGATGAGTTTGACAGAGAAATGCTGAAATGAAAATGTTTAAAAATTAACGTGAGCAAACGTCGTCATTACTGTCCGTAGCACACACACCTGCCTTAGAAGTTTTATGTTTATTTTAAAATATTTGAATACAAACCTTTGTGATTCCAATCAGGAAGCCTTAAACACCTGGAGCATGGACGCCTGGACCCCGCAGAGCTCCCAAATCCTAAAATAAATCATCTGAGTGGGGAGATAATCTGACTCTTCGCTCATTTCGCCGCACACGAAAACAGAGCTTCACAACGACTGTACAGATACATCTCTCTCTACAAAAGATTTCTTTACAAATATATCAGTTTCTCCCAAACCTACAGTGTTTTTATCATGTATAAAATCTTTCTTTGGGTTGATCTTCCCCGGCAACCAGCTGAGATGACATGAAGACACCTGCATAGGTCAGCACAGCTGCTTTAGTCAAACACAGACACACGCTTCAGTCCTTCATCCTCCAACATGGACATGGAAGCCCGCCAGCTGAGAAATCAAAGTGCTCATGAAGTGTTGTGGCTGTGAGGGTGGAGGTAGACCTTTGCTGCTAGGGCTGGACGTGAAGCAGCAGACGGGGGCGGCTGCACAGGAAGCTTAGTGACACGGTGCTAACATCAAACTTAGGTCTGCCTCCTCCTCGAGCCGATGTAAACGATTAGCAAAGTTTGGTCAACTAGGAAGATGGCTGACATCGCAGGGACGATGGGGCAGTGCCGGTGTCATAAAAAAATAGCATTTCATGTAAAATATCATCTGGACTGGAGCCTCCCGAGGCCTTCCTCGTGTCAGAGACGAACACGGAGAGCTCAAGGCTGCAGACTCAGGTTCTCGTTCGTCTAGATTTTTGTCAGTTTAACTTGTTTGTAAAAGGAAATCATTCATTATAAAAAATGCAAAAAGAGAAGATGGTCTTCAGACCTGCATCTCATCACAGAGACGCTAGGATCAGGGGTAGGGTTGGCTAAATCTAGGACTGGTTTTTAATGTAAGATGACACCCAAGCAGCTTGCTGGTAAAACACTCTAATATCTAGAATTTAAACACGATGAATATCAGTCACTGTGTTTCACTGTTTTACCCACTTTGGTTTGACAGTTGGTCGTTTTCCTGAACAAATGAATAAACCTGACTTCATTGTTCTGAGGGTTCTAGAGATCCTCCTCTCCTGGACCTGGTAGCAGGGATGCATACGCTAACTGTTGTGTGGTTCCCACCTCTACGGAGCTGGCAGTGGGGGTGTAGAGATGGTTGTAGGCACTACAAGGAATCCTTCGTCTGTGGAGGTAAACTTGGCGACCCTGTCCTGGTTTGCTCTGTTGGGGAAGTTTGAAGCCCAAGCCTTGGGGGAAGTCTCCTGATTTCTTTTATTCTGTGTCAGCAGCCTCCAACTCATCCACGTGGAGAAGTGGCAAAGGACAGATAAAGTGCAAAATGACCCCCCCCCCCCTCCCCCCATCAACACGTGCCAGTCTTTGGCTGCATCGTCACCCCATGGATGGATGTCCCTCACCTCGTCTGTCTCTGTGTGCTTAGGCCCGCTCCAACAGGGCTCAGTTCTTTTTGAAAAAAGAGAAAAGTCTCTTGTCCTGATCAGAGACGCAGCGAGCCTGCCTGGAGGACTGGTTCCTCGAAGACCCGGACAGGGAGGGGCGGGCCGAGCGCCATTCGTCCTGGTGCTTGTCCATCAGCTGCTGGTCAATCACTCGGTGCATGTCGTCCTACAACCAGAGACAGCAGAGGACATGAGACTACCATCAACTGTGTGTGTGTGTTTGTGCGTGCTTGAGAGCGTGTATGTGTGTGAATATGTCTCTGAGTGTGTGTGTTTGTAGGCATGCATGTGTGTGTGTGTGTGTGTGTGTGTGTGTGTGTGTGTGTGACTGTGACACACCAGTCAGTGACTCGATGCAACCTGCTGGGTTCCTTAAACAGGAAACTTTACTGATTGGCTTAATGAACTGAACTCTATTGGGATGTTTTCTGTGTGTGTGTGTGTGTGTGTGTGTGTGTGTGTGTGTGTGTGAAGCACCATGAGATGACACTTGTGGTGATTTGGCGCTTTATTAATAAACTGGATTGAACTGAATTGTAGCTTTTACAGCAGCTTACACAAAGATCAGACTGTAGGCCTTTGGTTGGTGCACGGTGAGCTTATGAACGTGAAAGGTGGAAGCAGAGATGGTAAAGTTGGATGTTTCTGTGCTGATCGGTGGTTGAACGACACGTGGTGGGATGTGCCTGGGTGGGGTTAGTGTTGGGTGAGGCGGCAGGACTGAGCAGCTCAGGGCTCACCTCTAAGGCAGGAGGGTAGGTACCACAGGGGGAGAGAGGGTGGTTCTGAAGCTGAGAAAGGCCATTAGATCAGAAACCACAAGAGCCAAACAGTAAAGAGCCCTGAAGAGGCAAACTGTGAGCAGGGAGGAGAAAAAGGGAAGAACTGCTAGTTACAGACGAGGAGGGAAGAAGGGAACAAACAGCATCTGATGTACTAGAGTCAAACGTTAGATAGTCTGAATGAACTTAGCGATGTTTCATTATGGCAGCTCTCTTTTGAACATTAACTCGAACGTTTGAAAAACGATTTAAAGTCTTTGTGCAGCTTTTAACCTTTGACCCACCTGCCAGGCCTCCAGCTGCTGCGACAGGTTGAGCTTCTGCTGGATGGCGTCCAGAAGCTGGCTGTTCAGAGACATGATGTCTATTTTACATTTGGCCAGCTCCATTTCCACTGCCTTCTTCCTGCAGAGAGAGGGATGCCAGGTCCATGGGAAACCCAACTTCACTAACGCGTGGTGTTTTGGTTTAAAATACAAAGTTCTTTTGTTGTGATGAGTTTTACCTGCTCAGCAACCAGCTAACGTCAAATACTTTAGTGAAAACAATATTTTCTAGCTTTCTTGTGGAACTGACCCGTGAATCTGTGTAGACCTGAGACATGAAGGCTTTTGGACATCAGGACTGTTGTTTGTTCTAATTCCAGCAAGTTTATGGCTATGAGACGTTTGCCTTGCATTTTAAACCCAACTCCACCGCGTTGGTCAGTGCTGGACTTTAGTAAGATGAACACAAAACTAAAAAGCCTTTAATAACATCAGCTTGAAAGCTGTCACCATGAGTGTGTGGGTGCAGACTAGTGCTTCCTACTTGGCTATGGCATCATCTCTGTCTCTGATGGCGCTCTGGAGCTGCTCGCTGGGTTCTCGGACCTGCGCCATTGCCCTCATCTGCTCGTTCTCCTCCTGGAGGGAACACATCTCTACAGAGAGCAGCGCCATCTGTGGGCCACACAGATGAGAGATGGGTCTGAGAACGGGGCTTAGTGAAGCGCACACACACACACACACACACACACACACACACGCACACACTCACGCACACACACACACACACACACACACACACACACACACACACACACACACACACACACACACACACACACACACACACACACACACACACACACACACACTACCTGGCTGTGCAGCTGTTGTAGCTCCTCCTCTCTGCCGTGGCTCCTCTGCTGCTCTGATTGGTACAGCTCTCTGACCTCCCTCAGCTCCTCCCCCAGCTTCCTCACATGGTCCTCCAGAGCCTCCTCGTCGCTCCGCCTCGATCCCTTTGAGAATAAAACACACACAGCTACAGCACTTCCAGAGTATTCATGAAGATGTACTGTTCACATGTTTGCTGTTTGGAACAGAAACAGCTGTGCTCCTTTACCATGGACGTAATTTTGGGGGGGACAGGGGGGACATGTCCCCCCCACTTTTTCCAAAGTCAAGTTTTGACCCTGCACTTTTTACCATCCAAAAACAACATTATGCTATATTAAACTGACACTGGTTGAGCTCTAGGACCAAGCGGAAAACAACCGTTTGTGTTGAAGCCTGTTTCCCATTAGAGCATACTGTAAAGACCCCCCCCCCCCCACTTCTAAAGTGAAAATTATGTCCATGTCCTTTACCGTAGACTCGTTTCCATCCACTAAATTCCGAGTTAGCCTCTTTAGCTCTAACAGACTGGTGTGGAGGCTCCCAGTAGGCACGTCCTTTACTGAAGATGTCTCAGAGGACTCGTCCATGGAAGAGTCCGTGGACAGAGCTGAGTCAGTGACATCATTTCCCCGGAGATGAGAGCAGATGGAGCGAACTTCGCAGTAGGCCTCCCACAGCTGAAGACGAAGCTGGAGAGTCAGGAAAGGAGGAGAACATTTAGGAGTGAACGGTCCATCCACGTGTCCCGTGAAGCTCTGGTTCCTCTCAGAACTACCTGTTCCCGCTCTTGCTCCTGCTCCTCCTGCTCCATGCTCTGCTCGATCTCACACAGCAGGCTGGACGGGTGGGGGGTGAGAGTCTGGAGACTGTGCTCCTCCGTCAGCTCCGCCAACCTAGCAGCCAGCTGTCTGTGAGATGTCTGGACCTCTTGGAGATCCCGCTGGCTCTGTCGCACCTGAACACCCAAACAAGTTCAAACTCATGACCACAGTATGGTTAAACCAACAACAAGGAATGTTTTAGTTTTATTGCTTTTATATCAGAAAAATAACTCCTGCCGAGTTTACAACTTAAGTCTCTCGTGACGATTTCTCCCTGATGGACTAAACAAGGCTTACCTGGACGTCCTTCTCCTGACACTGTCTCTCCAGCACCAGCGTTCTCTCTCGAAGGTGGTCCACGGTGTTCTGCAGCAGCTCGTTCTCCTCCACCACAGCGCTGATGCGGCGCTCCAGCTCCATCTTCCTCTCCGACAGCATCTTGATCTACCACAGCACCAGTTAGAAACAGAGTGAGTTTCCTGCTCGGCGAGCAGCCGTGGACCTGATTCAGGCTAAAATTGGTTGTTTTTTCTGCCTCTGAAGCGAGATGGGCTCTTGCTCAAGATTAAAAGTACTCCCCCTGGTCTGAAGAATGTTTGTTGCCTAGCACAGGCGGGGGTGTTTGGTTACCACCCTCATCCTCAGGAATGTTTTTATATCCTCAGACTTGATATCAGCGTACTCGTTACAGAGCAGCGACCTTCTGCTGGAGAACATGTGAAACTGCTGTGCTTGTTTAAGCCTCAGCAGCTTTCTGATTTAACATCTCTTGTTCATTTTCATCCCTGACCTACATCCGCTAGCCTACTTCCTCCTCACTCCTCCTCCTCCCTGCCTCATGAAGATCCACATCATCAGGTTCTGGGTGTTTAGTGCTCTCACACAAATGGACCACAAAGCCACCAAACATCCACACATGCCATACGAAGGCAGAGGAGCAGAAGAGTTGGAGCACCCAGACGTTGCAGCATCCCAGCTAAATATAGAGCAGTAGCCTTTTCTCCCAATTATAGAGCAGCAGGCTCTGCAGTCTGGGTGTTGTCTCTCTGCTCTGCAGACACGGCGATGGAGCAATCTATCTCCTCCATGAAAACACACGTGACATGTCATGCTTCTTTTATCGTGTGTCCATGAGAGGAGAAGAAGAACGCAAAGAAGTGGGAAATGAAATAAACACAAGATGGACGTTTTCTCTCATCAGAGCAAAAGTAAAAAAAAAAAAGATGGACACTCAGCATGCAGTCAGGCAGGAGCACTCACTTCCAGCCCCTGCTGCTCCAGACCAGAGGGGAGGGGGTAAGAGGTGGGTGAGGAAATACAGAACGGTGTGAATAAAAGAAATAAAGTCACCTACAGAGGCTCAGATGTCCTGACACGGGAGATAAAGTTAGCAGGTTAGCGTTTTAGCTGCTGATAATCACAACTGCTGATTTATAGTCGTCTAAAATGACTAGATCAGGAGAAGTGACCTCTGACCTCAGCTTGTAGAGTCTCTAGTCGTGTCATGTGCTGACTTGTGGACATGCTCTTCTCCCTGAAGTCATCCCGTAATGAGTGGACCTGAGTGGACAGCTGCCTCTCCACCTCTGCAGCCTATGTGGAAAAACAAGACCAAAGGAGATTGAGGAAAACAGAAAAGAGCAGACAGGTACAAGGTGAGAGACGTTCATCAGAAGAATCCTGATGACACAGGCGCCTGAACGGAGCCGTCGGGATTGATCAGACCGAGTCCTTATCGCTGCCTCAGCAACAGCACATCCTGAACATCAAATGCTAATAATAAGGCCTCCAGAATTAAACCAACTAATGAAACTTTTCTCAGGACTCATGGCTTTCAGTGACAGCCTCTAGATGGCACTACACACTGCTTCAGGTCTCTGACGGACTCGAGTGGATGCTAACAAAACATCGAATCCCATCAGGACTCAAAGAAATGTGCTCATCAGCCAAAGTCTCAGATCAAAGATCACCGCCACAGAAATGTTTACTGTCTCAGAAGTAGGAAAAACCAAATTCAAGTGAAAAATGAGAGATCTGTGGTTCTTCAGAGATAAACAACCACGGATCTAGCTCACATGGTTCTACCATCCAGTCCATCTGGGGTCCAGACCCATGTTGCCGTTGTGATTCAGACACAAGCACCTGTGGAGTTTATCGTGTCAGAAAAACAGCTGCTCTACAGGGAGGATGGTCAAACAATAAAACGATGTGGAAACTCGTCAGCGACTGGAGGTCAGGAGAACGAGTCACCCCGACTTGTGCACTGTTGTTTCAAACAGGTCATGGCTGGTTTCATGAGTCCTGTTTGTTTCACTGGTTTGTTGAATTTGAATGGCGCTGAAGCTGTGTAGCGTTTCCTGCCTACCACAGCCACAGTCTGGGGACTTTGATCCACTGCATGTAAACTGGAAACCTTTGTTGTTGTTTGACATTAATTTCATTTGTCATATTGTAAATGGTTAATGGCGGGTATTTGTGTAGCCCCTTCCAGGGTTCCACAACCCCCCAAAGTGCTTCACCCATTCACACGCTGGCCACACCGTTTGGTGTTTTGTGGGTGAGGTATGGGTAAGGGCTTGTAGTGATTGAACAACCTGTCATCCTCATTCAGTGTGTTACAGAGACGTGGCTGTGGGAAAGGGCGGCTCTGTTTAGCTACAGATCCAGATGTGCGTTTGGGTTCAGGATCTAAATCTGGCTGTTGTCTTCAAACAGATGTGTGGTCTGATCACACATGATGGTGACTGTGACCTACTGACCTAGTGAACTGACAGATGTGCGATTGGGATGAAAATCCCCGGAGTTGGCCACAGACAGACAGATACTCACTTAATCTGCCTTAAATTCCTCAGATTCCAGATTACCAGTACAGCCGGACAGAGCCGGGCTGCTGCTCCAGAATCCACAGCTTCAGTCTGACGTCGGACACCGGAGCTTCACTGCCGGACCTGACTAGGAGGTGGTGCATCCTCTGTGTTCTGGTGCCGCTTTTACAGCACATTCCCATGGTAACGCCACCATTTACATGTCACTCTGGTTGTCATAGCAACCACAAAGAGGTGGGATTGGTGGAGCTGTGAGTTGCTGTTCTCTGTGAATCTGCTTTGCTCTTAGTTGCTTTCCCCTGAGCTGAGCAAGGTCTGAACCTATGGAGGACGACTGCCTTACATTCAAACCCTACAAGGGTCAACCTGATCAGGGACAGAGGTCAGAGGTCAGACACACAGAGTCCAGTGTGGGGTCACTGGTGTCAGCTCAGTTTTTAAATACTATTACTTGTTTTATATGGAGACAAATGATGTGTTTACAAACTAGTTTCACACACACACACACACACACACACACACACACACACACACACACACGCACGCACGCACGCACGCACGCGCACGCACACACACACACACACACACACACACACACATTCAAATGCACGCATACACTCACACACACACACACACCTACACCCACAAAGTCACACACACACACTCACACATATGTGCGCACACACACTCATGCACAAACACACGCACACACGTGCACACTCGCACAAACACATTCACATAAACACACACAAACACACACACGTGCATATACACATACACATACACACACACACACACACACACGCACACACACGCATGCACACACATACACACTCGTGTCACAAACTGAGGATTTTATATTCTTTGAGTGAACATCTGTTACCTGCTGAGATTAACTAATTAGAGTCCCTGTAGTTCCTGACTGTTAGCACAGATTATAGCTAATCCCTTCTCTGTTGCATTTTACCACATGACATCACTTCCTGTGAGGATCATTACAATCTGTTCAGGATCGATGTCTGAGGTTTAAGGAGGGTAACAAACTGGTCTGAGGATGGAAGGAGGCTCCACCCCAAATGCTGTGTGTGCCTAACTGTAGCTCAGTAAGTAAATAAACGAAGGAATTAATTATTTTTAATCTGGGTTTTTGTTAGCTCCTTTTTGGCATCGCACTTGTTATTGTCTGCCATGCTGCTGCAGGCACGTTCAGAAGCTAATCTGTTGTCATGTCAGAAATTTCCAGTCTGACCTGGATTAGAAGAGCAGAAGCAGACAGGTACGGCTCGAGGATGTGGGATTTGGTTAGGACACTTTTTTTTTCATTTCTCTCTGAGTTGCCAGTCCTCCAGCCACGAGCAGACCTGGAAATAAAACCTGCCTCACCAGATTGATCACTTATTCAAACATGAAACTATCATTAATAATTAGGATCTATTTCTCTGTGTGCTTTTATCTGGCTGCTGTTCATCCTAAATCGATTGCTCATGCCTACCAAGCACTGCAGCTGATTGTGTAGAGACAGCTAATGTGAGGCTCCAAAATCCGATCATTAGAAATGAGGATTGAGAACAGGAAACTGAAACATGGAGGAAAGTCATTTGAAGCCATAAACATTTTGTTTGCATAATTATACTGCACGGGGGTTCAGGTCAAGACCCTATTTCTTCACTTCCTGTGTGGCTTTCCTGTATGACCTAAATAAGTCATGGACGTGGTCCACCACCCACCTGTCATCTTAGGATCCTCCACTTTAGAGCAACCAGCAGGACACCTTCCGGCGACGGTGGCACAGGAGTTAAAGTGCTCGCCCCATAATCGGAAGGTTGCAGGTTTGAGCCCCGCTCAGTCTGTCGCTGTCGTTGTGTCCTTGGGCAAGACACTTAACCTACGTTGCCTGCTGGTGGTGGTCGGAGGGACCGGTGGCGCCTGTGCTCGGCAGCCTCGCCTCTGTCAGTGCGCCCCAGGGCAGCTGTGGCTACATCGTAGCTCATCCCCACCAGTGTGTGAATGTGTGTGTGAATGGGTGAATGACTGATTGTGTTGTAAAGCACCTTGGGGGGTTCCAGGAGGCGCTATATCAAATACAGGCCATTTACCATTTACCATAGTTAGCATTACCTAGTCACAGCTGGTTGTTAAGTAATACACTTAGAGTGAGAGGAGGAGAAGACAACATGGCTGACCTCATCTACTCCACCCAGCTCGTTGAGTCCTGTGATCTGGATCAATCTGCTGAATGAGGCCTAGTCAGGTCTGCATGGATTCCCAAACGTGGCTCTCAGACAAATGAAACCTTTACTTATACAGAGTGCTTGCTTACTTTATGGCGTCGTGGTGACAGTGAGACCTGAGACTGGACGCTTAATCCTGATCCAGGTGGCAGAAGAAGCAAACGTCTGGTTAAAATCCACTTTTCTGTGCAGAGCAGCAGGTGTCTGGTAGCAGATCACGCTCTCTACAGGCAGCCCTGAGGTCAGAGGTCATCAGAGCGTTCATGTTCACAGTTCTGGGGCATCCTGAACATGGATCTCTGACTCCCGCTGTCTGACTGAACCTGCCGGGAATTCCTCACATGAGCTGGGCAGCATTCCTACTTTAGTATTATGTCATTCACAACTTAGAATAACCTGCTTTATCTCAGTTATCTGAGATGTTCACGGACAAATCTGCATATTTGTCATAATCTGCCTCATCCAACAGGGTGAAGGTCAAAACCTTGTTTTACTCATATTTAACAAGAGGCTGATAGAATCAAACTGTTCAGAGGTGTGTGTGTGTGTGTGTGTGTGTGTGTGTGTACTCCATATTGTTGCTGATGGTGAAGCAGGCAGAATAACAGCACGTGGTCATGAATCACACACACACACACTCACACCCCTCTGTGTAGCTGTTTACAATAGGTGTTTCTGTTTTTGTGTCAGCTGAGCAGATGGAGAAACTGCTCTGAGCTCCTTACAGAGGATTACACACTCAGCTTTCTCAGTTCCATCAATCTCCTCATCTCACTTCACACTGAAGTCTCTGGGGCATTTCTAACGATGATGCAGTTAAAACCTCCGACACGGACCTCAGCCCCGGATGTGTTCGTTCCTACCAGCCGGAGCATCCGACCTATTCAAACCTCAGCTGTCGTTAATAACTGCTCCTGTCAATAACCTGAGTGCTGTTGCATAAAAATGAACTGTCCAATCACTGTAGAAGCCTTTAAGCTCCACTTCTATGATTATTAGGTGACATAAGTCGGGTAAACTCTCAGACCTGTCTCGGTTGGAAGCAGGACCACGTGACAGAGACTGGTTAAACCCTCCTGAAGCATCTAAACAAACTCGCCCGCTGCAGCTCACCCTACTGAGTTGCTCCAGCAGTCTGTGGTTCTGTTCGGACAGTTCGCTGATGGCCTTGGTCTTGTCTCTGTCCACCTCTCTGAGCTGGACCTGGTGACGCTCCAGCTCGTCCTGCAGCTGCTGGACATCCGTCTCCAGCTCGGCCACTCGGCCCTCCCACTCCCCCTCCCGACTCTTCAGACGCCGCCGTAGCTCGTGCTTCTCTTGTTCCAGAAGCTGAGATGAGGGGAGAGCAGGTGGAAAAGGGTTATAGTATCCATTTGTTGTGAAAATTCATAAAATAAGTCAGAAATAATGTCTGGAACATGTTATTGGAAATGCAGCAGTTCTGCTACAGGTGTTCATCCATTTTCTAAACCTGCTTGTCCACGCAGGGTCACGAGGGGCTGGTGCCTATCTTCAGCAGTCTTTTTTGGGGTGGGGGTGGGGGTGGGGGGTGGGGGGGGTTACACCCTGGACAGGCTGCCAGTCCATCATAAGACAACACAGAGACACAGGGCAAACAACCATGCACACACACACACTCACACCTGAGAACAATTTAGGGAGGCCAATCAACCTCACAGTCATGTTTTTGGACCGTGGGAGGAAGTCGGAGTACCCGGAGAGAACCCACGAGTAAACATGGAGAACATGCAAACTCCTAGCAGAGAGACACCAGGCCAGGATTGCAAGGCACCAGTGCTAACCACTGTACCACTGTTCAGCCCTACAGGTGTTAAAGGAGCAGAAACAAAATAAACACCAGTGGCCTCTGCTTCTGACCGTTTTCTAGTAAGTTTTAAATGTCTGACTGGACTCAGCCAGATCCTGGATCAGGGTTGTTGTGGCTCGGCCCAAGGCCAGTCCAACCCAAGGCCTGTGAGAAGAGCGAGATCACAGAGAATCTAAACAAAAGTGAACAACATCAGAATTGTGACATCGGAGCATCTGTGGTGATGTAGATTTGCAGCAGCTTATTCCTCTGAGCTCCAACATACGATGAAAATGGATCAAAGGGCTGAAGAGACCAGCAGGCCAGAACATAAACAGGATTAGTCTTTTTCTGAGTCAAACATCCAGCTCTGTGGTTGTGCTGCTTCAGTGTGAAACTTTATACAATCCGTGCTTTTCTGTCATGCTGACCAAAACCTGAGCCTGTGAGTTTAAAACTACACAAAACACCTGTTTACCTCTAGTTTCTCGCTGAGGTCTTTGTGCATTTTCTCGTATTGCTTGGTTAGGTCTTGATTTCTCTCCAGCAGCGCTTTGCCGAGTTTTGCTGCTAGAACCAAGTCCTTCTCCTTTTGGCGGCTGAGCTGCATTAGGTCTGCCTTCCGTCCCAGCCCGGGCGCCTCCACGTCCGACGGCTCCTCGGCTCCCCGCTCCCCGGTGATCATGGCCAGCTCTTCCTCCAAGGCCGACCCCAGGCCTCCGGAGCCGGCAGAGGGACCGTGGAAGCCGCCAGGCTCCTGAACGGCGGGCCCGTCCCGCAGCGCCATGCTGTCGCTGTCCAGCTCCAGTGGTGCTGAAACCGTCTGCGGGTCCAGGAGGAACGTGGACATCGCCGCCCGGCGGTGGAGAGGCCGTCAGGTGAGAGGCGGTTGACTTCACTCCGGATGAGACCTGCCGGTTCCGACTGGGTTGGGTTGGCCGGACCAGCTTAAAATCAGTAATTCGTTCATCTTCGCTGTGAATTCAGCTGAATGCCGCTCAGACAGCCCTCTCCTCGGGTGCATCTGCTCCGTCAACCCGCTTGAAGTGAGTCACAGCAAACAGCGCCTCCTCTGCGGATCACTGCCCGGAGAATCACAACAGGTTCCTGGTCCTGTTCATCCGCATGAACCGCCTCCTGGAGAGGCCTCGGCTCGGTCAGGGTCCGTCTGGTTCCGGGGTCCCGAATCCCCCATAGTGATGATGCTGTTACACTGGTGGGTGGGTGGGGGCACCGGTCAGCCAAACACGGTGAGCGATCCCGATGCTGTCCTCGGTGCGCGTGCACGCCACGGTAGTGACGGCAGCTGATGCGTGACAAAAACGGCCATACCATTGGCTGTGGACGATAGCGCCATGTTTTGGTGCGTTTCGCTCACGCACACGCACCTCTCACACGCACACGCATTTGTGATATCCATAAGCACGTGAGAAAAACAAGGATAGATGTGATAAAGCAGGAAAATGTCCGATTTGCTAGAATAAAATAATAAACAGAGTAAATAAAACAAACATGATTCCTCATCATGCCACAGATGTATCAAGAAATTAAGCTTACTATTGAAAGTCCTCCGTCACTGACCCATATGAGAGCCACGGGTGTTGGTTTATTTTAATCTCTCACGGCTTCAGGTCGGTTAAGTTAAAATATCACACAGAATTAGTTTATTATGGGCTCTGCAGGGGTCAGGGATGAAACAAGACCCCAGCCTCTGAATAAAACACCCCCTGTGCTTGTAAGAGTTAAACAACATCAAGTTGATTCGACCTCCTGAATACTGAGATTGTGTATGTTTTGCTACTCTTTAGTTTTAAAATAATGTGAACAAAAACGGTTTAAAAATAAACAAATGTGGGGGAAAAGGAAAAAAGGAAAGAAGGAGCTTAAAATGAAATTTGATTTACTTGTTTTTGTTAATATGAGAGAATTATCGAGTCATTTATTTTTATAAATGTGCATAAATGTAAACATGGTCATTTTCATTTTAAACCCCCAATCAGCAAAAACCACATAAATATAAATATTAAAACTCACCTTTCTACTGAGCCTTGTGTTACAAAAACATTTAGTTTTAAATGTATTAAATAACTATTAAAACTATGTTGTTTTAAATTTGTGATTTCACAGTTCTGCAATTACTCCAAAAGAAACAATCCCGTCTTTAATAGAAATACACCTGAAAACCAAACATTTGTCACAAATGTCGTAAATGATCTAAATAAAACGACCAAACTGTTTAATGTTTATATCTGTAATGTTGTTCATTTACTATCATAAGTGTCTATTTTGTTGACATTTAGGGAACTCAAATCAATCCAGTCAGAAAAGACTGTTAGTATGGTGGGTTACCGCGAAACACCCCATCATTATTCATTAAGTCAGATCAGAACACAAATATTAAATGAATAAAAATCTTTCAAATTGTATTTTCAATCAATCAATCAATCAATCAATCAATCAATCAATCAATCAATCAAAGCTTTGTTTATAAAGTGCCTTCCGCAACCCTGTCAGGAAGCCCAAAGCGCTGAACATGGTACAGTTGTAGGTAAATATATTGAGTAAATCAACAATAAAAGCAATTCAAATTACAAAATACAAATTACAAAATACAAATTACAAGATAGATGAAACATTTTGGTACAGGACAAATGTGTAAGACTGGATAGAGTGAACCAATGAAAACTGTGAAATAAATTCAACATATAAGAGGGCCAAAATCAAACATGTTCTGGAAACGCCAAGCGGAGGAGGTGTGTTTTTAGGCGACTCTTAAAGACTGGCAGAGAGGGGGACAGCCTAACTGAGGGTGGCAACTGGTTCCAGAGTAACGGTGCTAGGACTGAGAAAGCCCGGTCCCCATGGGTACGACACCTAGAACGAGGGACAGCGAGCAGGCCTCGGTCAGAGGAGCGCAGAGCACGTGATGGGGAGTGTCTTTTCAGGAGTGTGGCTAGATAGGGGGGACCACCACCCTGGAAGAAATGATAAACAAAGACGAGGATTTTGAATTGTGAGCGATAGCAAATCGGAAGCCAGTGCAGGGAGGCCAGAACCGGACTGATGTGGTCCCGTTTCCTGGTACCAGTCAGGAACCTGGCAGCGCTGTTCTGCATAACTTGTAGGCGACAAAGTGTTATTGTATTTTGTAAATTGTATTTTAGAGAAGGAACTATTATATTTACGTTTATATAAACTTTTAAAGGGATATTCCACCCCTAAGTGAAATTTAGTCTGCTGCTATGTTCCCCAAAGTGAGATAAGTCATTCTGGCAGTACTCTGTTAGCTTTAGCTTAGCGTAAACAATGTAAGTGAGTGGTAACAGCTAGCATTTCAATCATCCAAATAAAAAAACACATTTTAATTTCTATTTAAATGATTACTGAGGTCACCAAGAGTAATCAGCATCATTATTGAGTAATTTTTATGACTTTTTCACAAACAGCTATCTGTTACCATTCATTTACATTGTTTATGCTAAGCTAAAGCTAACGGTGTACTGCCAGATTTGGACCATGACTGCACTGGTTACAAAGTTGTTTTTCCCACTTAACCAACACTGAGGGATATGGCAGCAGACTAAAATTCACTTGGGGTGGATTATTCCATTACTCTTTAGACGGGTGTGTGTATTTAACCCTCGAGGCAGGCGTTGCAGATTTGCAACGGTTAAACCTACCTACCTGGTTACTCCACGTACGTATTTCATGAGCATTTTTTAACTGAGAAGTACCCCTGAAGGACTTGGTTGTTCATCTTTTTATCAAAACTTATTTTGAACCTGAGAGGGTTAAAGGGTTAAAAAGAAGATAGAATGGGATTCAGCTAAGAAATGCTTTAAACAAGGTCAATGATTATTGTTTGCTTATTTAATATTCAGGAACATTCTACTAACTCCGGTTTATTCTGTTGTGTTGTTTTCTCACACTCAACAAATCACACATTTTCCCGAAGTAAACAAAAAACAAAACAAAGAAAACCAAAATGAAATTTAACGTTCAAAGAAGAAAAATTAAAAGAAGAGAGTGAATGACAAAAAACCAGATTAATGCAAGTCTAACTGAACAAATATCTTTGATATTTCATCTTCTACCTGGTGAGCTGAAGGCCTCTGGTGCTCCTCCAACATTTCACGTAGAAGTTTTTACATGAAATAAATAAATAAACACATAATACATAAATAAATAATGAAATAATATAGATTCAGTTAAACCTGTAAGTTAAATGAGATGAGATGTGTCTCTACAGGATTGAGTTAGTGAGGATGCAGGCTTAATGGTCTTAGTGGGATGTTGTGTTTGATGGGGGATGGACCTGAGGAGTGGATGGGGGGGGGGGGGGGGGGGGGCTTTGATGAGTGATTACAAACAATAACCTCTTGAGCCGATAAACTAGAGGCACAGAAGAAGTGGGTCACAGCCTGCTGGACCACAGTGGCCCTGCTGGGGCTAATAATGACAGATGGGGGGCTAATAATGGAGGATTTCCTCTCTGCACATCTAAATGTCATCACTGATAAAATTGCAAAGCTGGATTATTTCAGAAGTCTGCATAATTATGATCTTAGTATAATGTTAGAGTTCGTAGTGAACGGAAAGAAGAACTTCATGATTTTCTAAAACATAAATCACTATATGGATGGATCAGATTGAAAATCACTAATCTGTTAAATGGATGTTTGGGATCATCACAGCTGTAACGTTGAGAGGACTGTTTGGACCCAAAATGCAGATACCCAGGATGACACGAGGCAGGAGATATAAAGAAAATCCTTTTATTGTAGGATGAGTCCAAAAATAAAAATAAGTCCAAAAGGCAGGGAGCCAAAATCCAAAAATCAGGAAATGATCAGGAGATCCAAAAACACAAGCGGAACAGGCAGACTGATGGAATAAATCACGCTGACAAACAACAATGAACCGACAAGACCATGAGAAACAGACAGGGTGTTATAGACTGGGGCATAATGGGAGGCAGATGAGCTGCAGGTGTGTGGGGAGAGAACCAGGTGAAGGCAATAACTAATCAGGGAGGAGGAGCAGGAAGGAGCAGGGGAGGACACCGGACCTGACTGGAGAAGAACACACACACACACACACACACACACACACACACACACACACACACACACACACACACACACACACACACATGTTGGGTATTTTTATAATTGTACCTTTTTGAGACCTAAAAGATGCCCATTACGCATCATGAATCTCTGTGTAGGGTTGAGCAAGGCTGTTAATTGAGAGAACTCTGTACCTCTGTAACTTGAGAAGGCCCTGCCTTCTCCCCCATCCATTTGGTGAATAAAACCACTGAAGACTCTTGAGGGATGGGGGAGTCGCCTGGCAGCTAGCTCTGGAGAGAGTTATGTGTCATGGTGATCTCCCCCTCATTTGGCTAATTCAGTGTAAAATGTCTTCCTTGTTGTCATGTGTGTTTATTTCAGGTTCCAGGGTTATGGAGGTTAAATATTATCTACCAGATAATTGGAGAATGCAGGTATGCAGAGCAGGTGAGGAGAAAGCTTTGAGGCTGATGCAGAGTGGGGGCTGGTTGAGCCACACACACATGGACATGGGGCCTGGTTGAGCCACACACATGGACATTACAAATAATCAATTTACTCTCTCTCTATCAAAGGGTGTGTCATCCTTTAAGGTAATATGGGATAAAATCAAATTACCTAACAACACACACACACACACACACACACACACACACACACACACACACACACACACACACACACACACACACACACACACACACAGCTATTTATCTGAGCTTTTATCCCCACACACCACTTCACGGAACCTCCGATCCACATCTGAAAACCTCCTGGCAGTTCCTCGAATCAGACTAAAAACCAAAGGGGACAGGGCCTTTCAGTCTATTGCCCCCAGACTTTGGAACAGTCTGCCTTCAAATCTCCGTCTCTTGACATCAGTAGAGGTCTTCAAAAAACATCTTAAAACTCACCTTTTCATCCAGGCTTTCCCCCGTTAAATATTCTAAAAGATGGCTTTGTTCTTGTTCACACCTTGACTTTGTTTTTACTCCTGGTTTTGGTTACTATTGTTGTCACTGCTATTGTTTTTATGATGTTTTTATTGGTTTGAGGTATTTGCCATGATTTTACTCATGTTGTACAGCGCTTTGTGATTTATATCTGTGAAAGGCGCTATATAAATTAACTTTACTTACTTACTTACACACACACACACACACACACACACACACACACACACACACACACACACACACACACACACACACACTAAGCTGGGG